TATTAAACAGAGCGTCCTTCTAAATAAACAAATCAGCATACATAGTTTCACCCGATAAACCATCATTCGCTAAAATTATAACTGCACATATAAGACGCCCACGCGATTGCACGATGTATCGAAGTCGTTTAACAATGTATTGTGGATGTTGTAGTTTCACACGTCAACAAGAGACACTTTCGCCACTGGTCTTAAATTAAATTTAGGACTGCAACTACCAGAAACACACACGACTTGAATTCTGGGGTATGTAGGCTAGTACGTTTCCTCAATACGGGACCTTCACTACGTTTTCACGCTCTGACCTGATGTTTTGCGGTGCCAAACTGGAACTGCCATAACTGTCGAAAGGAAAAAATCTTGGACGATGTGACAAAAGCGATAGAGGTAAAGAGCGGTGAAAATGCGAAAGAAGAAACGAATAAGCTCACTTTTTGCTGAGTTTGTCTCCGTCCACCGTCTTCACGTCTGCCATGTTCTTGATGCAGCGCACAGAAAGAGAAACTGACATGCGTGCGCCGCAGAAACGCGAGAACTGAGTGGTGCGTTCAAAGGACTGACGGAAACCAGAAAACTGAAACGTCCAAGGATACGTCACAAGGTGGGCCCCAAATTACGGCCTGCTGAATGTGGAGAGCTGACAGATCGTCAGTGCTGGGGTTTTTTGTTTTTTTCTGTTATATTCTATTTTATTTATTAATAAATCAATACATAAATCGGGATTTAATTGCATACTAATATTACTAAATGTTCTGAAATCTAACATGAACTGAAATGTTTCATAACTTGTATGTTGTCGCCTTCATGCTGCATGAATGCGTGTAGTTTAATTGATATCGTCTTTCAACACATTTAAAGCTGGAATAAGGTAGGTCCAGTTTATTCTCCCTCCATCCTACGCTTAGGAGAAACGTTTAAAAACGATTTTGCCAGACTTTATTCCATTAGGCGCAATAAATAAACTCTCAGTTACAGATTGCTTTATCTGATATTTTGTTGCTACTTATTTCATTAAAAAAGGGTGTTTTGGTAAGAATATACCAAATGATACTACTATTATTTTCTGAAACATAATCCTATGTTTCATCAGAAAATAATCTACATAAAGCCAGTGTGGAAAAACAAACACAAAACTAGGAATACCTAATTTGTGTTAAGAAGGCATCCAAATAATAAACTAAAACTAATAAAAGTCGTGTCCTCCTCTCATAACCAAGTAATAGTTTTACACCAGAAAAATGAAATAAAAACCCAACTAGAACTTAAAGTAAATACATTTATTACAGATAGCAGCAAGTTTAACAGAAAATTAATTGCAAGAGTAAAAATGTCCCAATAAAAGCCAGATATATAAAAGTTATTTATTTGTTTGTTTGTTTTTTTAATATTTTGGGTAATGATGATTTGATAGTTGTTCACATGGTTAGAAACAGAAAGGAAGATTTTTACACCTTCGGATGTTTACTAGAAGAGTGGTTCACTTAGGCTTTAAATATGGCAGAGAAATGGAAAGTACAATTTGTAGAGAATTTGTGGCAAAGATAATTATCCACACCGTTTCAAATTGCAGAACAAACCTAGTGTGCACCACCTTTTACTGGTCTGACAGATCTGAGCAAAATGACTCGTGACAATTAAAATTACATCCTGTTTAACAGGATGCCCTGAGGGACATCAGAAGAAAGGGAACCACTGCACAGTAAACAACTGGTATAGACGGAGGTATGACTCACATCTCCTAACAAAGCCTTTAAGTAAGATGGGAACAAAGAAAACACACATTTGTGACCCTTGTCTCAACGAAAACACAAGAAAGCATCTTTAATTGTTGCTGAAAAGTTAGCATTTTGACTAACAGAATTAAAACCAGGCAGAAATTGTAAATAACAAAGAACATCTATTTTGGTTTCTCCTTTAGTCTAAAAATGGGAGAGGCTATATAGAAAAATATATGTTCAAAAAGTAATAGATCTACATTTAAAAAGGTTTATTAGCTGCATAGCAGTTTCAGAGAAAAATCTTTTTTGCATCTGTGTCGAACAACATAAATGCAATGGGTACTTCAGTACAAACAAGTCAGATATGACACAAATTGCACAACACATGAATCCACCACAACCTCATTTATCTGGTCACTGTCGAGCACTTAAAGCGCACTCAAAGTGTTATGGCTTGAAACATTCTATTTAATAAGGACTAACCATCCCCGGTAAGGCCAGCGAGGTGTTAAACAAGCAGATATGGTAAAACGTCAATCTGACTGTTGCTACAACATCTCGTTAAGGCACGTGTACAATCTTTATGGGTGTTTTAAGCAGTGTATATGGTAAAAAAACAAAAACAAAAAAAAAAACAAAAACACAAAACAACTAAAATGTGTGTGACTCTGCTGACATAATATTAATAGGTTATAATAAAAGAAAACCACATCTTGTTCTACTGAAAAAGAAAATTAAATAAAATGAGAAAAACGAGAACTTTTTTCAAAATAAAACAAAAACCTCGCTCTTGTTTTCCATACACGACGGTGTAAATGAGGGAAACACACTCATATCTGATCAACAATTACACATAATATACACAACTGAGGAAACTACTACCCCCCCCCCCAAAAAAAAAAAAAAAAAAGTAATCACCTCCCCCTTATGTGTACCATTCATTCACTGTGTCTCAAAATGACACTTTTACAACCATGATGCACATTTAGGATGATTTTCATTGTAAAAATACTGTTGCCCTGTTTTTAAGTATTTGGTCACATCGGACCTTCGGTCTAATTACAAACCATAAATAAACATGTGACGTCAGCTTAAAGGTGTAACTACAACTTCTGCAAGTCACAGAAGGAACTGTGCACGGAAATATCCATCGCAAGGTGCCTGTATCAGCATGTGTGCGTGTCTCTTTGGGGGGTGGCTGCCGAATCACGAACTGTGTCATTCACGAAGTTAGAAACACAGCTGCGATTACAATTTGGAGACTAACCAACACACAAATAAATTAAGATATACTTCTCTGAAAAGAGGCACAAGTACTAAACTGATAAAAAAAAAAGAATTAGTATCTACAAACAAAAGGAAATTAAATCATAAATATTCAACACTGGAAATATTAGTTATTAAACAAAGTCACAAATTGAAGAAAGCCAGTCTCAGAAAGCTCTTTTCTCCAAAGACGGGTTTTCTTCAGGAATCGGGTCCCTTTAAAAACCACTCCAACTCTTCCAACTTACGCCCTGTTTACATCGTCTCCATCCTAACCGACAGCTAATCCAGATTTGAAAGCGTATAAAATGTAGCGGCGTTGATGTACTTCTGACAAACTATACACAGAAAACACGGCAACAACGAGGCGTAAAACGGGGCCGATCCTATCAGAGACCAGCACCTTGTTCGTGCACACACTTTAAAGGGAAATTAGACATGACATTGAGGGGGAAAGCGTGAACAGTAGAACAATATCTAAAAATAAAATCTGTAAATTCTGTAAAGGAAGAGAAAAAAAAAACTACGCTGATCTTAAAGCTAAAATGCAAGCCTGTAAAAAGAGAATAAAAACTCATGAGCCATAAAACTGGCCTTCCATCATTCCTGGATTCATTCAGAGCAAGATTTGAGTCAACCTTTGGTCCAGAGGTCACTGGCAAACTGCTTACGGCGACATGAACTGTACAGTACAGTATCCAAACTGTACAGTATCCATTTACAAGAAAACATACGTAGCGGGCTCTATTCGTGCATGTTACTACACTATCCTGGATGAGATGTGCAGTAGCATTAGTGAATGCTGCTGCTTTTTCAACATTCACTGAATCAATCACATTAATAACCTGCTGGAAAGGCTTTAAAAAAAAAGAAAAAAGACTACTACTCCTGTTCATGCGTGCCTGCCGCAGAATGACACCAACAAAATGACACTAAAGCACACAATAAAAATATAATATATATATTCTACATATAATATATTCTGCTCTAGGTGCATGTACATATACGAGATATAGGTCATCTGAAGTTAGCATTTAACATTTTAATGCAGGTAATGTAAGTTTTTCCTGATTTGTCCAGTTTTCCAGCACAGCTTTTAGGATTCTAATATGTTAGTACGATGCCAGGTCTCTCTTGGAAATTAGATTTTTAATCTCAATGAGAATTTTTACCTGGATAAATAAAATAAAGGACTAATAATGTTTTAGCTTTTTCCGTGAATGAACAGTGACAGTTGTAACATAGATGTCAAAAATTCACACTGTTATAAAACATTTTTGTTATACAGTAACTAATTTGGACACATTTAGCGATACTGGCTTAAATCAGACTCTCGTGGTAATTTGTTTTTATGATCCATATTCATATTCACTGTAAACAATGCAGAAGAGGCAGCTTCAGGCAAACTTGCTGCCTCCTGGTGATGATTTTTTTTTTTTTAATGCCTTAAATTTTGTCACGCCGTCATTACAAAGCCTGTACACTGTGGTGGATACTGCAAAGTATTTCATACTCAAAAAGACACTGATCAGCCACAACATTAAAACCCATCTTCCTAATATTGCATGGGTCCCTCAAGAACACCTCTGGCGGAGTCCTGATCTCTGGTGGCGAGGATCCTTCTGGACTTGGTCGGTAGTAAATTGAGGAGTCCGTAGACCAGGCTTGTTCCAGCTCAAACTGTCGATGCTTGACATCACTGGGATCTGGGAAGCGTGATGTTCCTTGAGCTGTATTTACGCTGGTCAAACAACAGGTCCAGTTATCCTCATGAATGTCAGGAACCAAGTTCTCCCAGCGGGGCGATAAACTGCATTAAACTATTGAAGGTTTTATTATTGTGGCTGACTGGTGTGTGTTTCACATCATCAGTCTACTCAACTGGCCTTGACAAGACTGATTTGCAGCAAAATATAACACAGAAAAGTACAGCACACCTAGTGAGCATCTGAGCTTCCATCATCGATGAAACCAAAGTCACTTTGTGACAAAGACAACTAAAGCAGATTTATTTACACTATCGGGTGCAAGCTTGCTGCTACAACAATGAAATATTACCCACAAACAAACAAAACTTAATTGCGATATTACATAAGATTAGTGTGTATTCGTTTTTACAGCTCGTCCTTTGTCTCTCATTTCTCTGCCTGCTCCAGCCTTCTTTCACATTTTCTACACTGTTGGATCACATGACTCAACAGAAGCTACCTACCAGGGGTGTCAAACATGAGGGCAGAGGAGCCAATTCAGCCCACTCAAAGACTTTAACAAACTGTAGAACTTGCACAATCTGTGGTCTCTTCAGTCTGTTGTTTTTTTTAATAGCAGTAGTTAAAAGTAATTAAAAATCATCCAACTAATGAGAGTGGCTGTCTAAACCAACTCCCTCTTGAAAAAGAAATAACTCATGGCCTGTCATGCTACACTGAGGTTAAACCAAAAACATCTCAGACTGTTGGTTCTTGTTTTCTTTTTGAAAAATGGAGGATTCATTAACTTATGTTTATTAAACTTTTTAAAGTTGAAGTTCAGTGATTGAACTGCCCTAACACCCACTGAAATGAAATCAAACTGATTTCATGTGGTCCTTGAACTAAAACCCCTTCAACCCCTACATACCGCACTCCTCTCACTGTGTCACACAATCCATGCTCCGTGCAACCAAAATACAAAAGTTTTTAAAAAAGGAAAAAAAAAAGAATGTGATTTGTGAAAACACCACAAGAACTAAAAGATACTGCAAATAACATTAGTGAAATTCTACTTACAGATAGAACTCTAACAAATTCCAAGGATTGCTGGTTAGTGTCTTTCCCGAGGTCTAAATTCAACATCTTTCAAAGTTTCACGGAAGTTTCCTTCTCTGGAGTCCATTGCCATTTTCAGCCATTCAGTCATTGAGTTAGAGATGTTTATGTTTCATTTCTTTTAGTTATCCGAATATTAATTTGTCCACTTTATCTTCATGATCACTATAAAATCTTTAGCTCATCTTAACTGTTCTTTCCTAACACACCCTTAAAAGAAGACCAAATCATATGCATATAGTTCAGAAAAAAACAAAACATGAAGTGACCACAAATAAACACATCACTGAGGGTTAATTTTAAAGGTTTAACTTACATAAAATTCCTAAGAGACAATATTTGGACCTACAAATTTTTACAATCTTTCCACATATAAAACTTTTTAAAGAAAGAAAAAGTTATAAACCTGCATTCAATTAGTAGGAACGAGTTATGTTGCTGCCCGGCTCCTGCAGGCTGACCAGCAGATCGTCAATCTTCTCCATGTTCTGAGAGGCAGACATGGTGTTCGGCACAGTGCCAGACTGAGAGAGGGACTGGCTGAGCAGGGATTGGATGTGCGCTTCACTCTCTCTCTGGTTCTGACCAGACTGGCTGATTGCTATTATCTGATCTGACAGCGTGTTTCCAGGAGTTTCCATCAACTGGCCGCATTCTGCAAGGAAGGAACAGAAAGAGCTTCATGACTCAACAGGAACCACAGTCAAGAAAATAACAAACCACAGGCCCTTGAATAAAGTAAGCAGTGAACAGATTATTAATTACTTATGCTTTGGTCATAAATTTGAATGAAAAGTGGAGACACTACTTTACTGTCAATAATGAGTCCTCACAATCCAGATTTGACTGTACTCAATTCTTGCCAATTTGCAACCTATAAATCAGACTTAAAAATTGTGTTTTGTTTTTCTTTTATTGGACAATTAAAGGATGGGGATAAAAAAAAAACAACTTTACAAATATGTTAAAGATGAACATTAATAAAAATAAAAAGGATAAATTCTAATACTGGTATTTCACAGACATGTGAAATTTAATCTGAAGTAACTCATTTTTGCCACTTGAGGGCAGCAGAAACAAGTAGTGATACATAGAGATACAGTCTATGCCAGGGGTAGGCAAGTCCAGGCCTCGAGTACTGGTGTCCTGCAGGTTTTAGATGTGTCCTTGATCCAACACAGCCTGGAGTTGCCTAGCCCTTGTCTATGCAATGAACACATTAACTTTCTATCACGCTTTAAGTTGATGTGGTGAATCTACTGAATAGATACGAAGCAATGCTCAGTAGTCAAAGTTGTGAGTCTCATCACTCAACGAAGCTTCTTTTTAGCTCTGCTAAATAATGAAGAAGAAAAATGGGCTTTTTGACTATGTAATACTCCTTTAGGTTTACCAGCTAATTACTAACTGTATCTTTTCTTGCCATAAACAGCTGTTTGCTGCATCTGGAAACAACTCTAATGAGAGCAACCAGAGTGAACTAAAAGTAACTAAGTGATAATCTTGTTCCTCACTTCTCACTTTGAGTCATTTCAGCAGTTTCAACAACGTGCACTTGCCTAATAAATTCCTTACCGTTCTGGATACCGAAAAGGAAGAGGCCAGCTTGTTGAGGCTGGCTGGATTGATTGACGCTCCCACTCACAGCTGTTTGAAACAGAGATCCTGGCTGTTGAACAGGGGAGGACGTAGTTGTCTGGAGGTTTGCCACGCCATTCTGTGAGGCAAACACGGCTGATTGTGCAAGCTCCTGAGCGGCCAGACCCCCCTGCAGAGAGGCCATAGTGGACTGAGGCATGAAGAGACCCACAGGCTGCTCCTCTCTGTTGCTGCTGTTCCCCAGCTGCATAGGTTGTTGCTCCTGAAACATGGCTTGCTGTGGTGGTTCAGTAGGGTTCCCTAAGGTCATGGGTTCTGGGCGATCTTGCTGGGTTACCGTCACCATGTTGGCTTGAGAAAAGGGCAGAGGGGTGTTTTGGGGCTCTTGAGAAACTAGACTGTTGTTGGTCAAAGGAGGCATTTGGCCTTGGTTACTGAAAAGGATGCTAGAGCCCTGGTCTGGTGTGGAAAGTGTGTTGCTGCAAAACAGCAAGCCAGCCTGCTGTTGCTGCTGCTGCTGGCCTGGAGAAAGTGAATTTGTAGATGAATGTGGGGAGATGTTCTGAAACAGGGTGGCCTGCTGGGCTGGCTGTGTGTGGTGTTGAGGCTGAGATGGTTGCTCCTGCTCCATGGGGCTTCTCTGCTGGATGGGGGAGATCTGGGTCTGAAATACTGACTGTGGTTCAGGGGAAGAAGATTGTAAAGCGCTAAGGAAGGCCAACTGCTGCTGCTGCTGCTGTTGCTGGGAACTGTTGTTTGAAAGCTGATTGGACATAGAGGTCTGGGGGAGGAAGAGTCCAGGGGATGAGGCTTGCTGCTCTGGAGACTGTAGCACTGTCATGGTGCTTTGGAAGAGTGCAGCCTGGACCTGTTCCTGGGAGGCTTTTTGAAACAGCGCCCCCTGTGGATCCTGCGTTTCTGCCAGAGTGCTGGGATTGTGAAACATCGGTGGTGAAGAGTGAGATGGGGTCTGCTGGAGGAAGTTTGTCTGGATAGAAAGAAGATCATTTGCCTGCTGAAAAAGAGCTGCCTGCTGTTGCTGCTGCTGTTGTTGTTGCTGTTGCTGGTCCGGCTGGAAAAGTGATCCCTGGTTAGTCACCACACCTGGTGATGAGACCTGAAGCTCTCCATTCTTGGCCTGGGATGCATCCTGAAACATGGCACAGTGCATCTGCATCTGTGACTGAAACAGCTGCTGCTGCAGATTCTCCATAACCTGCTGCTGCTGTTGCTGCTGCTGAATTTGCTGTTTTTGGATCTGTTGCTGATGCTGGATGTGTTGCTGCTGCTGTTTGGTTATAGGGTTGTCAGATTGAAGTGATAAGTTACAGTATCCTTTGGCTTTTAGTTGTCTCACTGCTTCTTCCAGCTGGGCTACTTCATCTGGAGGAAAGAGTGGCAGCTGCTGCGGTTGAGATGCAGGTTCCCCACACAACCTTCCCACAGCTCCAGAACTGACACCTGGCCTCTCCTGCCTGAGGCCATCTCTGGTCTCCAAAAGGAACTGCTGTGATCCTTGCTGAAGCAGAGAGTCTGCAGGCACAGAGAACGAGCTGCCCGCAACAATGTCCTGCTTCTGGATGGTGCTTAAGGGCTCAGCGCTGGTAAAAACAGGCGCCTGGCCTTTGTCAGGATCACCTGCAGGCTGAGACAGGTTGCTGGAGAATACTCTGTTTTTATTTAGATGTCCTGCCGTCATATCAGAGTTCTGCTGGGCTGGGCACAGATCACCAGTCTGCTGATAACCCACAAAACAGAACACAAAAGATGTGCTTCACTTTGCTTTTCAGTTATGCATCACTGTTATTCTCTTTTTCAAAACACAGAATACTACCTTTATGCTTTATTTCAGGGACAATAAAACATGAACGAACTGAACGACTTGACTTTAAAACAAATTATGAAAGCAACATATAAGATAAAAGCTTCACCTTAAATACTCCTGAAGACTGAAGGTTGCTTGTCACCTCCATTGGAGTGACATCTTCTCTCTTTACTAAAGACAACAAAGGCATCAGGGATCTATCTACAACCGTACGAGTAGCAAGGATTACATTACATTTTTTTCCATGTATTCACTTTACTATATATAGGAAACCTTGGTGTCTTTGTTAAAAAATTGAAATAAATAAAAAATAACCTTTAATTTGCTCATCAAAAGAACACGTCTTCACTGGAGAAGGCAACTCTTTCTTCACAGGAACATCGATTGTTGCTGCAAGTGTCAGCAAAATGACAAAAATCAATGCACAGCAAAAATGTTAGTTAAGTAAAGCTACATATGATGTGAGTGGACAGCTAATTAAATTGCTTACTAAATTTTAGTTTAGTTACTTTGTCACACCTTACAGTGTTTTACCCAGAGGACTAAAAGGATATCAAATTAACTAGTAAAGAGACAATTTAAAAGGTAATGACTGCTAAAATAACAATGACAATATATTGATATACTCAACAAAGAAGTGATGTAAGTCTTATGACTACTGTACACAAGAACATTCATAAAAGCATAATTATATATTAAAACAAAAAAGTTTTTAAGGCCCAATCACACAGGCTGATAGACTGGTTTGCGAACCCCTGGCAACCATCGGTCACCAGGAAAAGAATGTGTATTCCTCAAGGCCAAACACCTAGAGAGTGAAAATTTGGCCTGTGTGTCTGGGGTGTTAAATACAATCCAGCTTTATTTTCTAACTAGGTTGGTCTGCTTTGGTACCAGTCAGTAAATCTAATCAGCCATGTGTGGGAAATGACCCAGTAATCTGAAGGCTACATGCAAGGTTACCAGAATCCCGATTACATTTTCATGGTCATCTTTCTATCAGCCGATTGTAAAAAGGACACACTTCATGTGAATTAGTGTGAAACGGATTCAAACAAACCTGGATCTGGAGTGTAAGTAAATGGCTGAACGTCATGGGATCTCCCAGCATTCGTCACCACGTAGATTCCTACACACACTTTAGATGTGATGACTTGGTTCTGGTAGGGAGGAACCTTTACTATCAGGTGATTCTTTGGGATGATAAACAAAAAAAATCATCAGCAAACACGACTACAACAATAAGACTACCCAACTTCAGCATTCTGCTATAGAGATTTCTATGACACATCTGACATCACAGTGACACCAAATATAAATGGGCAATAAATCATATTTCTTACTCTCGCTGTAGACGATGGATTTGCAGCTACCAGATATTGATATTATTTTGCTATTAATATTAATCCTACATGCAACCCTCCCATTTATCCAGGCTTGGGACCAGCACTTTGAGTCCACTAGCATTCCAGCCTTGACCCTGGGATCTGATTGTGTCTGAGGCAGATGTGTTAGCCACTAACATGCAGCCATGTCAACTAAATATCAATGACAGTAGCACTTCCAGCTACCAGCAGCTGGTGGCGGTAAAACTTGGCTCAATAATGAAGAAGCACAGAAGACCATTAACCGACCAAAGTAATGCCAAATTATCTTTCAAATCATCAAAGCATAGTTAGCCGAGTTGGTTCATTCAATCATGTTTGTTCAGCCTTTCCAAACAATACACATCACAACTTCAGATAACTGTAAAACTGGTTTATGAGGGTGTCAAGGTCTTAGCAAAATGTGAATACTTTCATTTGGCAGCTGCAGATTCATCGCTCTGGTCATGTCATTTAACAAGAGCAAAGGTTCAGACTGGACTGTTGAGACACACTCAGTAATAGCCTTTAAGATGGAGTGTAATTAGGTCAGAACACAATGAGACTACTCAAACCTTTGAACAGCAGCCATTTAAGATGATTACATCTAAAGCCACTTACCAGTCTGAAATGGCTGCATCTATCTACTGAGCTCGTTAGCCATTACCATAATTGTTTGTCACAAAAAAGATTAAAAATAGATAAAAAACACACCTGGTGAAAAAGCTCCATGTCAATTTCAGCCTCTGCCTTCCATGACTTCTCATCTGAAACACAGAAACGATGTAAAGCATCAACCAGAGAAATGACCTCACCTATAATAACCATGCAAAACATAAAGCTTTACTACTGACCAGAGGCATTCTCCTGAAATATGACTTTGGTGTCTTTAAGAAAGTTTTTTCCAATGATGAAGACCTCCTCTCCACCCCTCACTGAACAGCTGTGCAGTGACTTTTTCAGTATTTCAGGCACTCCTGCTGGCTGGGCTGTAAACACAGCAGATACACGTCATGCATTTATGTTTTAAAGTTTTATTTATACGTGCAACCCAGGCAGAAATAAAATGAAATCTAACAGTAACAGCAAAGAAATTCATGCTGAAAGGACTGAAGCAGTGATTCAAAAAACTAATATGAAAACAAAGGGCTGCCCTTTGTCTCCGGTTCTGTTCATAATTTTTATGGACAGGATTTCTAGGCGCAGCCAAGTGGCGGAGGGCTTTCGCTTTGGTGGCCTCAGAATCTCATCTCTGATTTTTGCAGATGATGTGGTTCTGTTGGCTTCATCGGGTGAAGGCCTCCAGCTCGCACTGGAACGGTTCGCAGCCGAGTGCGAAGCAGCGGGAATGAGGATCAGCACCTCCAAATCTGAGGCCATGGTTCTCAGCCGGAAAAGGGTGGAGTGCCCACTCCGGGTCGGGGATGAGTTCCTGCCCCAAGTGGAGGAGTTCAAGTATCTCGGGGTCTTGTTCGCGAGTGATGGGAGAAGGGAGCCGGAGATCGACAGACGGATTGGGGCTGCAGCTGCAGTAATGCGGACGCTGCACCGGTCCGTCGTGGTGAAGAGGGAGCTGAGTGTAAAAGCGAAGCTCTCAATTTACCGGTCGATCTACATCCCTACCCTCACCTATGGCCACGAGCTGTGGGTAGTGACCGAAAGAACGAGATCGCGGATACAAGCGGCAGAAATGAGCTTCCTCCGAAGGGTGGCTGGCCTCTCCCTTAGAGATAGGGTGAGAAGTTCGGCCATCCGGGAGGGGCTCAGAGTAGAGCCGCTGCTGCTCCACATCGAAAGGAGCCAGCTGAGGTGGTTCGGGCATCTGACAAGGATGCCCCCTGGGCGCCTCCCGGGTGAGGTGTTCCAGGCATGTCTCACCGGGAAGAGGCCCCGGGGCAGACCCAGGACACGCTGGAGAGATTATATCTCTCGGCTGGCCTGGGAACGCCTTGGTATTCCCCGGACAAGCTGGAGGAGGTGGCTGGGGAGAGGGAGGTCTGGGCCTCTTTGCTTAGGCTGCTGCCCCCGCGACCCGACCCCGGACAAAGCGGATGACGATGGATGGATGGATGGATATGAAAACAAAAATTTCTAAGGAGATTGGCAGCTTTGTTTTGCCTTTTCAAATTAAAACTTTCAGTAAATATAAATATTTCAAAGATATTTTATCAAAAATGAAAAACTGATCACCAAGTATTGAGAAAACTGTAAATGCTTAACATACCCTTTACCTTCAACACTGATTTTGGGGGGCATTGTCTACACACACACACACACACACACACACACACACACACACACACACACACACACACACACACACACACACACACACTTCAAAGGATATTATTAACCATGTCAACCTTAAACATAACCATTACTTTCTCAGATCTAACCCAATCTTATAACTACCTCGTCAGGTCACGAGTTACAGTCTCCATAATATGACTGTATAAACAGATTTAAGTCCCCATGATATGAGTAATATCTGCCCCCACACACGCACACGTACAGACATGCACACACACTAAGATGCCAAGCAGGATTACTGTTTTTTCTTGTTTCGTGGAAAGATATTTCCCTGGGTTGTATGCTGGCTCCGTGTAAACAATAGAAGTTCACACACCTATTGTTTCGTCCTTGCCCTCTCTTTCTCCCCTGCCACTCTCAGAGCAAATTCTCCCAAATCCACTGACACAGATATTTTCTTACGGCCCTAAGCGTCTTTCCTGTTTATAAAAACAACCACACCTTTGTACTTCTGCATTCTGTAGGCATTATTAAACAACTCAGTCTAATGGGATCTTTGTCTCCTTCCTCTCCAAATGTTGATATCAGAAGACAATAGTCTCCTGATCTCTGACTCTAAAAATGGAGAAACAGGAGCTGAAAAAAATTCAGTTTACATTATTATAGTCATTATTAACAGGCATGTTACAGGTCAGCTACCCATTTTCGCACACTTAACCTGTCATAACTACATGAATATCGTAAATAATACCTTGTAATTAAACCTTGCTGGATAATTTTCTGCACAAAGTTTTTTTAAGTGGTTTAACTAATATACCGACTTCACAACATAGTATTTCCAGTCAAAGTATGAGAAAAATGACTTACTACACAGGATTGGAGATGAGGGAGTCTGTAGTGTAAGCACTGAACCATCTGGACGGGGGATGTTGACCCGAAACACGAGCCGAGCACGTGTGCTCTTCTTCTTTGATCCGGCCACCCCAATGCGAGCCTCTACATCAGCGTTGCGGAGCTTCAGGATCCCAACACAGTCCACCCTGCAGTGAGGGGCAGTGTTAACTTGGGTTTACTTGCTCTCAAGAGGATTTTGGCAATTATAAGGAAATGTTCTTAGTAGGACTAACAACTATCACTTAAATGACACAATTTCAGTTTTAAAAGCACGTACGCTAGGGTCATGTTGGAGCTTGGATCCAGGGACACTTCGATAACAGTTGTGCCTTCAATATCAACCTCCTTGCAGGCTGTGGTGTTGCGACCAGTAACCCTGCAGGCTTGGTAAAACCCATGAGGCTTCACGCGGCCGGCATCGGTGCCAACGAACACCTGCAAAACCACTGGCTCGCTCACTCCCTCCAACTGTGCAAGGCAAAAACAGATGAGCAATCAAACGGAGCTCATTGTAGATCTGCTGTGTCATAACATTTTCATACAAAACTATGGACTATGAACTGCTTATTTCTGAAACTTCTGTGCTAATAATGAGCTCCCAGTTTACACTATTCCATCATATAATGCCCAATCAGTTCTGTGCATTCAGCTGAACTTGTGCATCTTCACCTACCTGCCCTGACATTGATGGTGTCAATGTCTTGCTCAAGGACATTGTTAGCTTAATTTATTATTGGATTCTGCTTTCAGATGCAAATCGGTCAGCTTTAGTTCTTTATGGCTTTGGTGATTGTTTTATCAGTTTGGATTCACCTGTCATTTCTGGGCTCTGGCTGCCTTGTGACCATCTGCAGAACCTGGGCAAATGAATGATCAAACACAAGACAATGTGCCTGTTCTGACTAACGTCTGGTTTTTGTCTGCTTTTGAAGTCGGTTAACTACAGCTCAGCTTTAGTCTGAGCGAGTACATAAAATTTAATTCCTTTTTCATCAAGCTACAGCTCCTTAAAGCTTAGGTCCCTGTTTTCACACATGAACTCAAGTGAAAGTTGGATTCCTGATAAGTGACTGACAGTCTGAAGGAGCTGATTTCCTCATCCAACGTCCTCATTTGTGAACAGCAGTGAGAACTAACAGTCTCATGAAATATTACAGACTCTGACACTTCATTTCATCCTCCCAAGGACGTGGATATCCACTTGAACACAAGTGGAACACTTCACAAAATCATTGTCAGTGAACACAGTCCAGACCCATCACTTGGAGAAAACATTTGATATACGTAAAACACAAGAGGCCTATCTGTTAGGAGGCTCAAATGAAAATTGAGGGACCATTTTGCTTTCAAAATGACAGCAACTTGTCTTCTCAGTTCAATACAGTATTGTTAAAAAAAAAAAAAAAGTTGTAGGGAAGCCCAGGAGTGCCCCAACTTCTTTGGAAAATGTTGCAAGTAATAAATTCAATATCAGCACTTACTTTCACCTTATGCTAACGTTAAACACAGGGATGCTAAAGCAGTAGAATTTCAACATTAACTACAGAGGGGTTTTACAATTACCTTTACAGTAGGGAAGCCCTGCTGAGTGCGGTCCTTCACGGATCCTCTGCTGCCTTCAGTCAGATAGCGGGCTCTGTGTTGGGTCTCAGGCTGGACGAGGATCTTCAACTCTTTCCCCTCACTCTTTTGTGGGAACTGCATCGAGAGAGTTCCTCCTTTCTGAATAGTAGTCTGAGGTTCATCAGAACTGCAGCAAAGACCAATTTGACAGAGACACGAGCAGATGATCTCTAATTCTAACGTTTTCATGTAGCCTATGATGGATTAAAAAGTCTTCAACTTAATCCATGCAAGTGTTTGCAGCAATGTTAGGTTCAGAACCCCAGTTTAAATAAAAAGAACCCTAACAGTATTATATATCTGTATGCAATTGGCTGGGGTTTGCTGCAGTACATAGCTCTCAGTCACAACAGTGAAACTGCTCTGAAGTTGCCATGGCGCTCTAAGCAATGCAGAGTTCAGAGGGTGTCCATCAACCAAACATTTTCTATCCCCAGCTCCTAAAACGTTCAGCCTTATCTGTTTATTTAATCTGCTCTGCTTATCCTAGGTCTTTGAGAAGGGCTCTGTGATTCACTGTGGCTGACCATTGTTTGTACTTCAGTATCCTGCCCCTCCCTCCCCTCTGATCTAACCGCTCTCCTTCAGTCAAAGTGTGGTGGGAAATTTAGAGCCAGATCAGTTTGGTAAAGATTTCCATCTGTCGGTGTGTGCCAACGTATCATTTCGTGATACTACCTCCTTCTACAATAACAATGAGGGCTGAGCAAAATTATTAAAACGGGTCTTTAAAGTTATAGTCAGAGAAAGGCTGAGTACCCAAGTAACTACTAAAGGGCTGGTGCAACTATCAAAGGAAACTATTAAATGAACAAAAAGCTAGCTAACAAGTGAGTCAACAATGTCCTAAATCAATGTGTTTTCTTTACTTACTGATAATGTAACATCATTTATTTCAAAATCAATTCTATTTATATAGTGCCAAATCACAATAACAGTTGCCTCAAGGTGCTACAATAGTACAGAAAAAACAGAAAACCCCAACAATGATATGACCCCCATGAGCAATCGCTTTGGCAACAGTGGGAAGGAAAACCTCCCTTTAATCAGGAAGAAACTCCATGAAATGTCGAGAGGCATGTGACAAATTTCTGGTGATCATAATACAAAAAGTACAAACCTTCCTTTATGTCCTCCCTTGCTGTCAGGGCCTAGTAGCTGCGACAGGACAAAGTGTGGGCCTTTGGCACTGTCTGCATCAAACACATCCATGCTGCCCTCCCCTGCTGGCGCCGTCTTAGGGCCAGGCCTTTGACGGGGGGTACGTTTGCGGGACTTCCGTGGCACCTCTGTGTTGTCATTGTAAGACAGCGTGCTCGTCACACTGAAGTTGGACAGAGATTCATCCATCCAGATGCTGTTACTTTGCTCTGTATCCTGGGTCCCATCATCTTGGCAGGACATTTGGCTGTCATCAAACAAATCTTCTGGAGGTGGCGAGATGTTCAGTACGGTGCGACGCTTTGATGGAGTCAGTGGGTGATGCAGTGGGCCTTCCTGGGTTGTTACACCTTTTCCTCCTGCTAGCTCGCCGCTGCCCCTGCCGTTACCATTTCCACGTTCTGCTCCAGCAGCCTCTGGTACCACTTTGGTACTCCTGGTGTCGTCTGGATCAACATTACTGTCTTTAACTGGTTTCTGGTCATTGGTTAGATTACTGGAATGCATGGTGGAGCTGGAAGAGGTGGAAAAAGCACTGCGAGGGCCTTCCATGGTCAGAGAAGAGGCATCTACAGTGCAAATAATTAGATAGTTAATACAGGCATCTCAACTAATGTTGGCTAGTAGTCCCAATTTTACAGCAAAATAGTTTTTTTCTCTGTTTCAATTTTTTTGTTGCTGATTTTATTACATTTTTTTTATATGTTGTCATCCAAAAAAGAAACTGTGTTGTTACTAGATCTTACATATAAATGTGCATCTGATTCTGATGAAGTTATAAATGTGGAGTATTTGTAGCACAGTGGAGGTGTTATGTCAAGAAGACTAAAAACGAAGACAAAGGTTGAGCAGGCCACTATATTTTATTTCAATGTACTGTAATCAACTTCAAAAACAACAGAAATTCATTATTGCTAGCATTTTGTGCATGCTCAAATAAAAATCTCGACAATAATAATATTGTACAATATGAGGCATGCCAATTATGGGAACTTTTCATTTATTTATATCTTGCTTTCTATCAGTGTTCATTTTGGGGACTGAGCGTAGCCGCTGAGACAAAATAAACAAGCTTCTGACCTAGGAAGCAGAGAACTGCAGACCATTTTCTGCATATAAAATGCAGACACTCCCTGCTTCATAGGGAACTTCCTGGAATATAAAAATGAGACAGCAAATAAGCAATAAAAGCTGAACAGTAAAAAAACGTATTCAGATTTTATTAAAAAGAAGAGAAAAAAAGAAATCAATAGAACAGGGAAATTTGTTTGGCAAAAATCATGTTGCTTCAACATGCTTATATACACTGATCAGCCATAACATTGAAACCACCAACATAACAAGGAATACAGTGGTAAATGTGAGGGGAGTGGGACACATTAGGCAGAAAGTTCTTGGAGCAGACGTGTTAGAAGTGAAAGAAATGGGCAAGCACAAGGAACTGAGTGATTTAATGCAGTGGCCATCCTGTCCCATGTCTCTGGTACAATGTGCACATAAGCAGGATCGTGAGTCCTGTTGACGGTTGGGTGCGTGCACCTCTTTCACCTGGTAGCAGCAGGACGCACTATGGAAAAACGGCAAGCCACCAGAGGCAGTGTGACACTCCAGAGAATATTAGCTCCTAACAATCTTGTGTATTGTTATGTTGAAGCATGTCACCTTTCGAGACACTCCAGCAGACCATGCAAATGCATTCACTGTATTTCAGCTTCCACCAGGAGAATTGACACTGCAAATGTGCTCTGGAATGGTTTGAGAAGCATAAACAGATCAAGGTGTGGCCTGAAAATTTCCCACATCGCAATCTCAGTGAGGAAGGATATGAAAGAAAGAAAAAAAATAGCGTGATCTACAGATCACGACAACGAAGGCTCTGCTGCTGACATCTTGGTGCCTGGAGGACACCTTTAGAGGTTTTGCAGAGCTATCGTATTTGGCAAGCGGTTTTAATGTTGTGGCTGGTTGGTGCACACTGTTATTTCAAAAATATTCAAAAGAGTTTAAAATGAACTATATAAAGAGTGTGGGGAAAGGATGGTTAAATGGTATGGCGTTATTTTTGTGCCACTATTCTGAGCGCACGTATAAAAAAAAAATTGAGCACACCTAAAAAAAAGTTTGCAGGTGCAAGTGTTGTATTTTGAGGAGAAATTTATTTTGAGCAAAGAAAAGCTGAATTTGAGTGAACAAAATTCATTCCTGCGTGCAAAAAATGTATTTCAGTGTTTGCTATTATCCATACACACACACACACAAAAGCAGCCCCTTAGTTTTTGCATTTGCGCTCGCTCGCAACGTGTTCCTCGCGCTCTCAACATTTCTGCCCGTGCGCGCTCAACTCTTTCTCTACACCGTTATATTTGTGCCACAAAACCAGCCAATCACAGACTTGGATGCAAAAAAATCTGATTGGCTGTTCTGGTCTCCAATCAGCTCGAAATGACAAAATGCAATATCCCAGAATCCATTTCGTCCAAAACTCAAATGAGGCAGTGGCGGAGGAACACAGAGTGGCGGAGTTTGAAATATTACTCTTTCTGGGTCACAAAATAAACTTTTAAGATATTTTCATGCGTGAATGTTGCTGTGTAAACTTCAAATACCTGCTCGATTCATCAAGACATCACATATTTGCATAAGTGCTCTAACGTTTTCGGAGATGCCTGTTACCCACCAGCACAGCTGGACTGGCCATTGGGCATCCCGGGCAGTTGCCCGGTGGGCCGATGATGATTTTTCATTTTTATGTTTGTTTGTTTTTGTAATGGTATAAACAATTAAAGGTGGTGGATTGGCCAATTGGTCATGATCAACTCTGGGCTGGACCAATTACAATACATCCGTATGGAGAGGAAAAGGAACGCGATTTGTTCTGGACTTCAGCAAGAATGAAAAAAAAGACAAAGCTGGAGTTATTCTGTCTTTACGTTGCACAGCTGCCTCTTCTCCCCTCATTCTCTCTCCCTCCCTCTCCTGTTGCTACGTCAATCATGACACTGATCAATGATCAGCTGATCGTCTCTCTTGTTTGTATATCTCCCACTTTGCGCCAGAAACAGGAAACCAGTGGATGTTGCGCTAAACAACAACAGCAGCACGTTCAAGCTTGATCAGCTGTTGTTAGAATTTATTTAAAATTAATTTCTAGTATCAGCTGATGTTTGCTGGAGCCACAGCTGTATAAGCTGCTGCTCATGATATCGGTTTGGAAACATGAAGGTGATACAAATCATACATATATACCAACAAGACAGTGTACGTCACTGTCACAACAGCGTTTGTTTTAGTTCAAAGGCTTTATGGTTTTTCCTATAATACCTGGTGGTGTAGTTGGTGATTTTTTTGTCAGTTCAGCCTTATATATTACGTTTAACCCGAGTGACCACCCGGTCAGCTGGTGGGTAACAGGCATCTCCGAAAACGTTAGAGCAGTTATGCAAATATGTGATGTCTTGATGAATCGAGCAGGTATTTGAAGTTTACACAGCAACATTCTCGCATGAAAATATCGTAAAAGTTTATTTTGTGACCCAGAAAGAGTAATATTTCAAAATCCGCCACTCTGTGTTCCTCCGCCACTGCCTCGTTTGAGTTTTGGACGAAATGGATTCTGGGATATTGCATTTTGTCATTTCGAGCTGATTGGAGACCAAAACAGCCAATCAGATTTTTTTGCATCCAAGTCTGTGATTGGCTGGTTTTGTGTCACAAATATAACGGTGTAGAGAAAGAGTTGAGCGCGCACGGGCAGAAATGTTGAGAGTGTGAGCAATACGTTGCGAGCGAGCGCAAATGCAAAAACTGAGAGAGAGGGGCTGCTATTGTGTGTGTGTGTGTGTGTGGATAATAGCAAACACTGAAATACATTTTTTGCACGCAGCAATGAATTTTGTTCACTCAAATTCAGCTTTTCTTCGCTCAAAATAAATTTCTCCTCAAAATACAACACTTGCACCTGCAAACTTTTTTTTACATGCGCTCAGTTTTTTTTTTTACATGCGCTCAGAATAGTGGCACAAAAATAATGCCATAAAATGGCAGATTATAAATAAACAGTTACACTGGTCTTGACATTGTTGACGTTTGGATGAATCATTGGTTTACAAGAAAAAAAACGGTTGGAAGAAAAAAAGAGCGCATAAAACGCATGAAGATAGTGTCATTTTGAGCAAGTATCATGAGACAAAAACACATATGATCAGAAACCACAATACAGAATTGCCAACAAACAAATGAGAGCAAATGATTAATACTTCAAACAACAAATTTTTTCTCCAAACAACCAGGAAAACATCAAAACTATGGCTGTTTCTCGCAGGACATCATGCACAAATTGCTTGATAGTAGTCCCCCATATTGGACGTGAGACAACTACATGTCGCGCTGGGGGTCGGGGTTGTATTCTTTGACTGGCTGGTGAGGTGAAATCAGTCAGAAAGAGGCTGCTTCACCAAAAACCTCTTTGTGATTGCATTGTTCACTATCAGATAGCAGTGGCTGCCTGTAGCTTGCATGGACGATGCCGACTTGTCTTCAGATGCTTGCTAACTACTCAAGTGAAATTTATTTGCATAGCCCTGTTCAGACACCAGAATGCTTTACAGAGGGACATTTAAAACTTTTAAACATATCACCTTATGACACGTGTACAGTCGATCCTAGGAATGTAAAGGCAATAATCAGAAGTTAAAAAACAAACAAACAAACAAACTTCACAGATGTCTTCCTACTTTTATCTGGCACAATAAAGTCTACTACAGATGTAACAGGCAGGCATTTGCAGTGACAAACTGTAGGAAAACTTGAAAAAGTGTAACGACAATGGAAAACGTTCTTTCTAAGCAAAAAGCTTTACCTTGGCACTGGAGCCAAAACATTTCAAAAGGTACAAGTTTTACTTTGAATGCAAAAGGTCTCCATGTCTGGTTGGTTTTGCACTTTTCAGAGTTTCACTACCGCTTGTAGAACAGCCAGTGAGTGTCTGTGAAAAATTTTTAGTCTGTTCCATGCAAACTTTAGGCGACCATGGCAATCTGTCACCAACCAAAGCAATTGCAAGGTGGTTTATGCCAATTAGTCAAGGAACCCCAAAATCTCACAAGTGATGGGAATAGACCACGGGATGTTTAGCTGGTCTCTAGGCCTGTGTGACTGGGATCTTATTCACTTGACCTAATATTGTCACATGTCCAAAATGGTAAACAATTTAATGTCAAATGGTTAGCAGTCATGTGACTGCAAAACATCAATAGGTACAAATCTATCAATGAATTATTTGGTCTACATCAGTGGTGGGGAACTCCAGACCTCAAGGGCCGGTGTCATGCAGGTTTTAGATGTGTCCCTGATCCGACACAGCTGAGTTAAATGGCTTGAAGTTCTCCAGAGCTCTGGTACTGAACCAATCATTGGATTCAGGATGATATCTAAATATCTACCAGGAGTGGGGAACTCCAGGCCTTGAGGCCCAGAGTTGCCCACCCCTGCTCTACATGAATTGCTTGTGGAAGCAGTGACCTGTGACTGGTATTAAAAAAAAAAAATCAAAAGTAGGCAGGACAGGAAAATATTTATAAAAACCAAAAAAGGGGGTAAAAAGCCTGGGTCAGGCAATGAATAGAACCTACCATAAAGTCTGTATCATAGCAGTCTGTACTGTCAAAGTCCCATGCATGCAAAAGTGGCTGACTTGATTTTGGAGTCTGGAGCTCCTGGACTGAGCCCACCTTGCTTGCATTATTACCCCTAAGTGTTCATCTCTCCTCGAATAACTACTAAAACAGTCACTTAAAAGTCTCAGGTCAGCTGAAACATTTGAATAACTTCAAATATCAAGTGAACATAGAACACCAAGTTAAAACATCAAAAGATAAATTAGAAAAAATAAAATAAAATCAGTGACACAGCACTTTTTGCTGTTTCTTTGTTTTTAGAAGCACATGCTGAGATTTTTAATTAATCTCTAGAATCTTTGCAAAACTCTCATGTGTTAATTTCCACCGTGAAACCATAAACCCAACTGCAACAATGGCGGGTAAAAGATATGCTTATCTTCACACATTCAACAATCTGTGGCTCACCCTCCAATCCGGATCTAAATCTGGAGCTCTCAACAAGCTAACAGTCCTCAAAAAAAAATGGGCAACTTTTACTTGTGTAGGAAATAGAGCTGGGCGATAGAACGATAACGATATGTATTGCGAAATAACTTTTCCTCAATAGAAAAGTTAAACTATTGCGATAGGCCTCATCTCTCTTGTCCTCTTTAAAAAAAAAAGAAAAAAAAAGAACATCAGCCAATCCAAATTAAGTAGCGCAGAGCCGAACCAATCACAGCCGCAGCGTCACGTCACGTGACTTGTTACCCGCACATGTGTATTTGTTTGGGAAGCAGCCAGCGGTAATGGAGGAAAAGAGTGTGCCAACTAGAGAAAAATCAACCGAGCGTGACCGAAGGTTACCGAAGAAAAAAATGATGATGGTTCCAACGCCGGAGAGATTGTCGAGCGGAAGAGCCATAGAAGTTCCGTAGTGTGAAGGTATTTCGGCTATTTCAAGTCTGACAAAAAAAAACAGAGTAGCGCGCACTGTAAATTGTGCCGAAAGCAAGTCTGGAAATACAATAAAGCGGTGCATGCGCAATCTCTGACTGAACGCGCTAATTCGTCATTCGGCTTTTGTCAGACTAAAGTCACTGTTAAAACTGTTTGAAAAGTTAAGCTATACAACAAGGAGAGATTGAGAATTTCCTTTTAGTTCTCAGTTTATTTGATATTGACAGTTAGTCAATTTTGTTTGTTCTTCTGTAAAACAAACTAAGATTTATTTTTAGAATTAATATTTTGTTTGTAAGTGGAACTGACAATTTAGTTTGTTTCGTTTGTTCTATTCTGAAACTTAAACGCTTTAGCGGCTGCTTTTGTGTAGTTTGCAATATTTGCCTTTATTTATCTGAAAAGGTCTCATGTTCCTTACGTACATCTACCCAGTTGAACTTATTATGGGAAATAAATATTTAAATCAAAACAAGCTGCTGATTATTTCACATTTTACTTGTGAGTAACGGCACATTTAAATCTTACAAATATAGTTATTTGGCTTATATCGTGATAGATATCTTTATCGCCTGAAATGAAAAAAACATATCGTGATATGAAAAAATCTTATATCGCCCAGCTCTAGTATGAAATAGTCATTAGCTGTTCATTTATACTGGACTTCCGTGTTGGTCTATTAAGAAGATTTTCTTCTGTAAATAATAGCTCCACCTTGGAACTGCAGAATGGTCAACAAGGTGATTACAGCCATTCAAAGCTTCTTAATTCTCTGGAAAAAAAGGCTAAGAAAAAAAAAAGGGTAAATAGATTTAGTCTGTGGGGTAATGAATAACAGGCCTTTGCCGGGGCCTCATATTCTTATGGTCTACAATCGTTCTACTTTGAAGTTTAATTACCATTATGCACTAATATCATTGTCTTAAAACATGTGCATAAACCATATTTCTAAACTGTTGCTACAAGAGACCACAACATATAGTACATAGCAATGTGAATACAGGCAGCTAGCTATGTTCAGCTGCCATTAACTTCCCTCACCAGCCTTTTATTACTGTTTGTTTTTGTTTTTTTTCCTTCACGTGAGAATCACAGAGGAGCACGATGGTTGCCTGACTGGCTTTCTTGCCACATGCAGGTGTTTGTTTGCCTGAAGGTACAGACTATAACATGAGTTGTACTTTTTTCAGGGTGGGGCATGATCAGTCCTGCTTGCAGAGGAGAAATAAGGATAAGAGAAGCAGGATCCTACCTGATGCTAGAGAAGCTGAAGGGAGAGGCCCTGCCTCTCCGCCGCTCTTTTGACTCATGACTTTTGGGCTTTGCTGAGTGGATGAAGGCAACTGCAGCTCTCTGGGAAGAAGGTCATACACTGACTCTGTTGTGAAAGGAGGGGGGAACCAATAAAAGCGACAGTAAGGTGACAGATTTACAGGATCTCAACAGCTTTTGTTGAGCACCATCAAATGTGTCAGCTCCATGACCGAGTTGTAAACGGGAAACCTGAAAGTGATTAAACCTTTTTGGTTTTGGCTCATACGTTCTTCTGAAATTATATAATTACACAGCAATGTCATATCACCACTCTTACACAGTCATAAGAACCACCATGACCTTCTTGGCAATGACTCCAACACAATGACACACAAATACCCATGATACAAAGCTAGGGCTATTGGAACAATGCACTGGAACATATTTCACCATCAGTTCTGATGCCAAACGCGTCTTCACCTTTTCACTAAAGCCAAAGCCTGTCACAGGCTGCAAGTATGAATAGTCATGCCACACCTTTCACCCAATTTGCTGACAGACTAAAAATTCAAGGGGAATTCAAAGCTATATAATGTGACTGACATTAGATGGAAATGTATGTAAAGAATCTTTGCATATCAGAAAAGCAGCATCATGGTTTTTAAAAGATTTACAAATTTATCTCGTATCTTCTGTAAAACTACTGATGTCACAACAGACAGATAAAAATAGCATAGCTGCAGCCAATGCAAAGATATTATCTAATTTACCACATTCTTCTTGCTTGTTAAAGCCTGGCGGCTGCATTAGCTGTAGTGCAACATGCTACTAACAGTCCAGCCAGAGATTCAGGTGTGTTCTGTTATACTACAGAAGGCACTAATGTTGCCTCGGGCTAATGGCTGTAAACAGAGATGATAGGTCGCCACAGGGGTCATGGAAGTTCACTCTCTTTTAACACCTCTCCCTTTTTCAACAAGCAACTTGTAGTGTTTAAATGACCTCATTTGAGGTAATTTAGCACATTTCTTACTGACACAGGAGCCTTTATCCACCATGTTTTCACATATAAGCAACAGCACTCCAACACTGTATTATAACATGAAAAAAATGATGCCATCGTTGAAGTTCATCATTAAAGTTGCTGCAAAATATGAATAATAATAAAAATCAATACAGGCAAGAAAATAAAAAAAGAAATTGGAAAGACATCTAACGTGTCAACTAAAGATGAAAAGAAAAAAAAAAAACAAGTGAGAAAATACCAAGAAATTAGTTTGTGATGATGACATCCATCGAGGATGAAATGATGCCCATTTTCACTCAAGACTATGTGTGAAATATCTGGAACTTTTAAAAATTTCTCTAAAAGTATGTTTCATAAAGGTGGGAGGTAAATTAAGCCATCATTACTTTCAATATAAATTTGTTTATATTTCTGAGACAGCAGGACTTTGATTATTCGTGCTCACAGTCTGAGGCAGTTCATTTGTTTGCAGCACACAAACAAATTCAGGTCAGAAAATTTGTGAGTGAAACGCACAGATTTGTTTGTATGCACTTTATGCATACACCCATTGCCCCCTACTATACAGCATCCAAAACTGAAAGCTGCATATTTTTTCTCAGAGGACGGTCGGTAGAATCATATATCTGAACTAGTTAGTCAAGACTCGGAGTACACTTTTGGGAAAAGCCAGCAACTTAAGACATATCAAATGCTGTAGCATGCAAAATAAATAGCAGATCTCATTACAGACCAAACACAGGGTCATACAAAGCCTTTTCTCTCCTCTCTGTGCCCCCTTCTGGGGCAACAGGACATGGAGAAGGGAGAAAGCCTTGGGTCAACAGCATGACAACACTTTTACTAGCAGCCTGATTCATCATCCAAATATTATGGTATGAACTTAGAGCGGCCATTACAGTCGCCTGACTCTCTTCTCTGCCAACTGCCAGCTTTAATTACTTGCAGCTGAGTCCCAGGGTTTGGTGTGTATATCAGATACGTAACCCTCCCATTGTTACCACTCGCTGTGTACAAAAGACAAACCTGGGACATACTGAAACCAGCCCATGCCTCTTCATTCCCAAAGCCCTCCAGCCTCTTACAGCTCGGTTTAGAAGAGCAGGGAATGCTGGTTCCCAGAAAGAGGCTTAAAAGTGGAGCCAACAAACTCCTAACTCCCAGTGAACCACACATACACAGAGGATTCTAGTGTGGTTTTCCTGGGGTTAAAAAAAAATTATTTTTTTTTTTGGCTCCGTTCTCCAAACAAAATCAGAGACACACATGCATGCACACAAACATATCCCACCCCTGCCACAAAAACACTTTCCCTGCCCGTGCATTTACACTTTTAACTTCTTGGGCCTCACTGACTGCACATGCAGCAACATGTGCTCTCAGTGAGCAGCCCTTCCAGTAAACAGATTGCCAACCACACAGACAGAAAATATGTACTCTTCTCTCACAGCAGTAGTGTCGAATCACTGGCTGCCCTGTTCAAAGTGTTTCCACAGTCCCTTGGACTTTTTTAGAGGGCTGAATGAAAATTCTTATTTTGCTGCATGTTTGTTTCCTGACGCACAGACAGAGTGCAGTTCTTTATTTACACGTGACAAAACACTGTCCCTTTCACTCTGAAGATTTAAAAAAAATAATAAAGCCTTGCTAACTGGGCAATAAACTGTACGGACTCACACACACCACGTGATGTTTTGATTTCACCTTAAGACTACAGCGATGTTGTGCAGTCCGCTGACCACAGAGCAAAACCTCTCATTTTCTGTGACAATCATAACAACCAGAATAATTCACACTGACACATGTGGTTAGTTTTGATCAGTAGCACTCATGCTAACAATGCACTGAAATATGTGTGTATAAAAACTGAACTGACTCACAGCTAAACTAACAAACCACACACACACTCACAATCTGAGTTTCACATCAGGAATTCTGCACAGATCATACTCATCATGTCTTGTGATATGTTTATGTGGCAAGTAGTGCAGACTTAAGATGAAAAAAAGAAGAAGAAAGAACTCACCATGTGAATGGTAGGACTTACAATCCCATTCATTTCCCTCACATTCCTCCTGCTTGCTCTTACTAGCCCTGGCACCTTGGGCGTGGCACTGGTTTTTTAGCCGAGTAACTGATTTAACTCACTTCTGTCCCCCTCCTCCACTCCACCTACACTCTCCCCGTCTTGTTTACTGTGCTCCAGACCCTTTGCTGCAGTGCATCCTGCTCAACAGGTTAGTGGTATTGTCATGTGGAATCCTGTCATGCAGAAACCGAGCAGTAGTGCAACCTACTTGCTGAAAAATTTCAGGCTGCAAAGACTTTGTGGGATTTCACAAAATGCAATGAGGAGCACAAGCTTAATCGACGGGCAACTGCAGCAAACCATCTACAGCAACCCTGAAATGTTTACAACCGACCTACATGTAGGCTACCAGGGACTCCATAGCAACAGAGATCGAGAGACAACTCTTTTGAGTGTTTGTCTCGCTTCTGAGCCAACATGGAGAAATTAGAAAATAAGCAGTATTATTAAGGCATAAATGAATACAGGTTTATACCTGAGCAATGAAGTTCAAACATATATAAATAAAAATCGGTATGTGGCTTCAGTTTATAACATCGTACTAAAATCTCACTCCATGTTAACAGCTAACAGCAATGACCTAGTTTTATACTTACACTGGACATTTTAAAGAAGCTAAAATAGGCAACATGGTTAACGCTAAAGCTACCCAGAGCTTAGAGCCAGTCAAAGTCAGCAGTCTCGGTATGAACAGTGAAAGAATCAAAGCAGTTACACAGAACAGACTATATGCAAGTTAGTAGTAACTTGCATATTTTGTGATCTGCTGCATTTGTTTTTATTTGAAAAAAATAAAAAAATATGTCAGGCAAACCTTGGTGTACCACAAATCCTTTACAAAAGGTAATTATTTGTACCTCGTGGTGACTTTTTCTTCAAACCAGCACTAGTAATCTTCAACATGTTATCACACATTGGCTCATATTTCAAAACTGAGAATTATGTTTTTATATTTATGTTATCATTGAAGGCTAAGATTAGGGGGGGGAACTCAGTTTAACAGCAACACAAAGCACAGGATCAAAAGGCAAATACCAAAGACTTGACCCCAAAAGCCTCTTGGCAAGTTGAACAAAACTTGTCACAAACCTGTGCACAATATGAATGTAGCATGTCGGCATATGTATGCAGGAATGATGCACGAGTAGACAAGTGCACGCGCATAAGTGAAATGATTTTGCACGGTTTCCTTCTGCAGTAATTACATGGGAAAAGTCACATGAGCCCAAAATACCACCACCAACAAGATACAGCACATACGTATGAGCCAGATGCAAAACCAGATGCACTACGTATACATGACCATATACGCAGTGCATCTGTCACACTGCATACAGGTGACTGGTATTACATAACCCAAAAATCAAAGTTGTAATTTAAACAAATTCTGCTGCACCTAGCTACATTTACATTGGCATAACAAATTAAGTCGTTAAATAAAAATTTTTTGCCTTTTTTTATTTTAATGGTTGTGGCCCATAGAAAGGAATGTTGTGTTACAATCGCTTCTGCCCTGTTTTCATTAACCTCTCTGACAAGCCCACCATTTTTCTCCTGTCATGATCCTGATGCTGTGAAGGCATGTCCGGACAATGCATTTTGACAGGCTGCCACCACCACTTACTTGTGTAGAGCATAAGCCAATGTGTTCATACTCTTCAATGCTACAATGTATTTGTCCATAAACTTCTCAGAACTCTTGGTTACTGCCACGTATTTAAAAATAAAAAATAAAAAATACAGTGAAGGTAGTACTTGGCTAATTGAGTAATCCCGAATATGACAACCACCCACCCAGTATTAAACCACTTTCCCACGAATAGTAGGACATACTGTTTTATTAATTACATCACCAGTGGAAAAAAAAATGCATATTTTCTAATTTATTTAATTTTTGCCAGAATATGAAATCAAATATCCTACTAATAAAGAGTAATGATACATATTTAAAACACATAATCTGGAGGGAACAAAGATGTAGATAACAAGTTCAGATGGGGGAAAAAAGTCTAAATTTAAGTAGTAAAAACAGAGTCTTCTATAACATTATTAAGTTATTATCAAACAAAATAACTTTCATTCTGACAACACACTGTCACTTATTTCTTAAATAATTGCATCACACATGATGACTACAAAACTGTTGAAACAAAGCTTACTGTGATTGATTTTCAACCTACTGCACAATAGCAGGCAGTGTTGGTATTATATTGTATTGGTATTAACCACATATTGCATTTGGGAAAAGAAAAAAAAAACACAACACCATCATCATTGTGTTTGGCAGTTTACCTGATGAAGAAACTCAGAAGACTTACCAAAGCACAAGAAGAAACTATTTGTGAAACCACAGTTGTTTCATGTGTGTTTTATGGAGTAATACTAAGCTACAGTCCTGTGAAAAACCAAATACACCCTCACTGCTTCCATAGGAATTTAGATGCTAAGTAGTAGCCAGGTGCTGACAATCAAATGCACTTGGTTAACTGATCATCAGAAACTGTGAGCACCTTTTTTAAAGCACAAGTTGTAGCAGGTTTTAGGTCTGGAGCATTCAGATGTGTGTTAACGAAATTGGGGGGGGGGGGGGGGGGGGGGGGGGGAGACAAGAAAGGATGTTAGCAATGATCTTAGAGAAGCAATTGTTACTGCGGTTAAATCTGGGAAGGGAGGTTTCCAAATAATTTAGGCCATTTTTCTCCAAGTTGACCACAAGTGGAAAACATTCTTTGAACACATGAAACTGAAGAGGAGCTTTTTGGCCATAATGCACAGCTCCATGTTTGGTGAAAAACAAACAATATATCAGAACAAACACCTCATACCAACTGTCAAGCACGGTGGTGGAGGCTGATGATTTGGGCTTGGCAGAACTTGCAGTCAACCATAAACTCTTCTGTATACTAAAGTATTCTAGAGTTAAATGTGAGGCAGAAAACGGGTTATGCAACAGGACAATGATCCCATGCACAGCAGCAAATCTGCAACAGAATGACAGAAAATGGAAATAATCAATGTGGTCCATCCAAAGTCCAGACCTGAACCACAACAAAATACTGTGCCAGGACCTGACAAGGACCGGGGAAAACGAAAGTAAACAAACCTCAACGAATTTAAGTTGCAAAAATAAGTGCGCCAAAATTCAGACATAGTGACATGAAAGACTGGCAATCTTCCAGAAAATGATTGCTTTATGTTATTGTTGCTAAAGGTGGATCTTAAAGCTACGGAATCACAAGGTGCACTAAGTTTTTCACAAAGCTGCATAATACGTGTAAAGTGCGAAGTGTACAGTGACATATGTAAAAACGCTTTCACACTTACCTGAGTTTGCATGAGAATACATGGAACATAAACCAACTTTTCTCACTTTAACGGTAACTATTTTGTGCCCATCTAACTCTTAAAAAACACTGTTTTTACCCAAATACTTAAAAAGACAAAGTTTCATCTTTCCTCTCAATAGAAATGTAAATTCCCCAACTTTTGTTTCAGGGTATATTGGAAAAGTTGGCCTAAAAAGGAAAAACAATCCGAGTACAAATTTAGAATGTGTGTTTTTAATTAGATGCATCTGAAATAAACAATGTATTCACTTGAGTTATGTCAACATTTTCTATTTTGACCATCACCTCGTCCTTGTCACGTTTTTGAAAAGAAAAAAAAAATCTTACAGACTGTTCTTTCCACACAGCGATCTAACAACGTAAAAGTCAGTGAAGCCTTGGAGCGGGTCAAGTTATTTGTGTCACACCAGGTTCAGCATTTGTGGCATGTAGCCCTTTTATCCCAGCTTATCCTGAAGCAACCAGGAACAACTTCCATGCGTCATCAAAAAAAAAAATGCCCGCTGAGACTCTATGAGGGCCAAACCACACATCCACAAGTCATCTTTGAAAGCAAGGTAGGTCAATTATCATATTTATTATCTAAACAGTACCACAATGGAGTCTGTTTTACTGTCAGCAGATACTACTGGAAAAGAAAATAGTGACAATCTGACTGAATTTAATGCTCTTAAACCCATCTACCTTTAGCTCTGTGCTTACCAGTGGCCCCAAAAGACAAAATGGTCATTCAACTTAACCTGAAAGCTTGACTTCAAAAAGCAGTGGAATTCAAACTATTTGCAGTGGACGGCTTACACAAAGGCTGGCAAATACAGCATGGTCAGCTTTGAAAGCAAGGCTGTCACAATATAAGATTCTTACCATTGTGTTTGCCACATTTAACCTAAACCTTGTCACACCTTGTTTTTAAACAAGTCAATTATAGAATGTGAGATTAGGGATTCTGATAACCTTGCAACCTTGGTTGCAGTAATGTCATATGAATCTATAAATATTTACATGATCAGGGACAACCGACACAACATATCTATGTCTGTGTAGATGCCTCACAGTTGGGACAGTGTGGGTGAATTTCAATTCTAACCAAATGTGCAAATATTAACCATTACTTTGTGCAGTGTCACTGAGACCAGCCTGCACAGCCTGTGATTGGTCGGCAGACTCAAAGACACCATGACTTTGCTGAAAGGCCTGTTACACTGGCCTAGAGACCGGTCAACAACCTCATGGCAACGCACAATCCTTGCGACCTCCAGCAACCACTAAATGAGTGAAATTCAGATTTTACTCACGTATGTGGTGGTCACCGAGGATGTTTTAATTTTCTGAAAAACTTGGAGCGTTATCTATTGAAGGAAAACAAAAAGACTCTTAAAAAGATTAATCTTCAATACCAGTGCATCATCATGATGGCGCCACTTGAGAGCCAAACAGACACACTGTGGCAATTTTACACATAAAACGTGTATATTTACATCTACTAATACATGCACACGTTTTGATTGTCCTGCGTTTCCAAATAAATAAGTAAATGTTTTCAACTGACAAAGCAGTCCAGAATCTTTTCTTACTGACGGCATGTAGAATTTACATTATATGGACAAAATCAGGGTACCACATGCAGATTACATCAACAGAATACCTTTCTGTTTGTGTTAATGTCAGAGGAGGTTTGGAGCTCTGCAGTTATTAAGTGAGCCGAACGCTGGTGGTTTTTATGCACCATGGGCCTTACGACCAGGAGACCTCACTCTTAACTTTAGTGGTTTACCACTTGGTGGCCGAGTTGCCATGGTTTGCAATCACTTACATTGTGGTTCATCGTGGACTACCTACGAGGGAATAGATTTCACAAACTGACTTATTTCAATGGTGGCATCCTATTTCAGTACCATGCTCAAATTCAGTGTGCTCTTTAGAACAGCCCATTCGCTCATAAAAGTTTACAAAGGCAGATTACATTGCTGAGTACTCGATTTTACATATCACATATGCACCCCTTTGCAACCTAAGTGTGTGGCCCATGTGCCATCACCTGAATTAAAATACTAAAAGTGCAAACACTAGCCGAGAAAATGCTGGAAATGAAATTTTATTCATATTCTTT